TTCAGTGCTTCAAGCCTCCTCGGGCTGTCTGGTGGGTTTCGGGCATGAGCTTGATGTTGAAACCCAGTTTGGGCCTGTAGTGCTGCAAGCTCCTAGAATCCTAGGGTCTTACAGGGGTCAAAGCTTCAGACTTCAGAGCTGTAGGAGGTCGCCATGAAGAAGCCTGCGAGCAAATTTGCTGTGGGCCGCTCCAAGAGCAATCTTAGCATAGACCACTTGTGCGACGCCCTTCGACCCTGGGTGACAAAGCCTGCCTTCATTAACTATGTCAGCAGCAAGAACCTTGAAGCCTTTATGCAAGATTTCGTTTGTTCTGTCCTAGAAAACATAATCTCCATGTCTGGTCTTCCAGTCGATCCCTACCTGATGCTCAGGAGCATGAAGACGAGAGACAAGGGGAAGCTGAAGGAGTACCTCCCCCACCTCAGAAGGGTGCAGGCCGTGGACCGGACATGGAACTTCTCGCACAGCTCGATTACAGCGGCATTGCAGCAGATAGCTCGGGACACTTGGCATAAACCTGTAAACCCCAAACCGCCTAATCCCTCAATTGCGAACTATGCATTGCCTAGGATGAAAGCTTGACGATCTCGCCGATATGGGCTTCGACCAGTGCCCTCAAGGTTTCAGCTGCATTTAGACATGTGGCACAGGATGCCTTGAAGTGCCGAAGCTGGCTGCCCCAGGCCTCGCACGGTTTCAAACTCTTTTGAGGTTGGGGGTTGGGGTCGAAGCCAGGGCTTTGGGGATTCTGAGTTTGGCAGGACATGTGGACGGGTACACGCGATAAGAAGAGAAAAGCAAAGGATGAGGAGGAAACACAGACGGAGACGCAGCAGACAGAGGGAGACGAAGAGGGAGACGAAGAGGGAGATGATGCAGAGGATGAACAGGGAGAGGAGGAAGAGTTGGAGGATGATGAATGCATGGACCCGTCCACTGCTTGCAAACGGCCCGCTGCAGCTGAGCAGATACCAGCTCCAACGACGACAGCAGTTGCACAGCAGAAACCAGCTCCAAGGACGACAGCAGTTGCACAGGAGAAACCAGCTCCAACGAAGACAGCAGTTGCAAAGGAGAAACCAGCTCCAACGAAGACAGCAGTTGCAAAGGAGATACCAGCTCCAACCAAGAGACACAAATCCAAGGAGACACCAGCTCCAACAAAGACAGCAGTTGCAGAGGAGAAACCAGCTCCAACAGAGACACCAGAAGCAAGCAAAGGAGTTTGCACCGCAGCCAAGTCGAAGCCAGAACCAAAAGTCCAGACCAAGCAGCCCGAGACCGAGAGACCCTACGACTTTTTCGAAGACCCTTTGTAATAATTGGCACGTTGTTCTTCTTTGATCGACATCGTGAATGCTTTTCGAGTGATGAGAGTGATGCAGCTACTCAGCCATGTGTGTCACTTCGGCTCAGGATGCTTTTTCAAGCAAGGACTTTCCCAAGATGGGGGCTCTGGACTCCATCACGGCTTTTGCTCGGCAACAAGGCCGGATCTGCGACTCAGATGTTGCACGCCTCGTCATAAACTCTAGCAATGTTCGGGTTTCTAACTTATGGTCCAATCTGCTAGGTTCAGCATGCCTGTCCTGTCAGCTTGTTTCAATACAAATCCATGCCCATGGGGATCGCAGGATTGCTGCTTTCGGATGAGCCGGAGATGACGCCGGAGCCGCCGAGGCCGGACGACGTGGAGACCCAGCCCGACTGCGACATCCAAAGCCGAGCAGTGCCGCCGAGTCCTGCCGCTCTGGATAGCAGTGCGAGTGTGGAGACGATGCGAGCCCAGTTCCAAAAACGTGGCGGCTCCCCGACCCGGGAACTCGGCAAGCCGCCCGACTATGAGTACGGCTTCGACAGGGAGCATGGCAAGGCTTGGAGAATGGCAATTNNGAAAAGAGGGCCCGTCGAATGGTCGGCCCCGCCAGAGCTGGATTTGTCCAAGGGCCCCTTTGCACCCGTTGTCTTTGTCTTCGCAGACGGCGATAGCTTCGAAGCTGGTGTTGTGACCCAAGTTTCTTGTCCTCAATATCCTCAAACCTCAAACCTCAACCCAAGCCTCAGGTTCTTCGAAAAGTTTAGAATTCATACATGTTCTACAGTCAGCTCTTAAATGTC